ACGAGGAGACACGCAGCCGAGGCGGAAGAGCGCTTGAGAACCGGATCCCGACTCAACGCCAGGCCACAGGAGCCAGCTACGCAGCCGACGGAGACAGGATGCCCACTCGACGACCTCAACAGGCGCCCTCTTCAGGCAACGCCCTCAACGGTTCCCTTAGCCGGAACGCTTGCACCAGCCAGAGCGCGGTGGCACCACGACCAGAAGCCGTCAACGTTCGCAACGCCTGCCGGAACTGTGGCCAATCCGGGCACTTCGAAGCCGAATGCAGGAACCCACGGATCCTATTCTGTTGGGATTGCGGCCAACGAGGACGCAGGACGGTTGACTGTTGCCGACAGCCACCGTCGGGAAACGGGCAAGGGCCTCGTGTGACCGGGAATCACCCGAGGAACCCTCCGTATCCCCGAAGCCAATAGGAGACACTCTCCATCAGTACCAGGGACGCATCCGCGCTACCATCCACATGGAGGGGCAGCGGTTCACAGCTACCCTGGACACCGGAGCCACCCACAGCTTTATTAGCGAAGGGCTGGCTCAAATGCTGGACAACGGAAGGAACACACGGGACATCCGTACCCAGGTAAAACTCGCCGACGGAACATGCCGCGAGCTGACCAGAGCTCTGGCGGCAAATATCTACCTCGGAAGCGAACGGACGCCCACCATTCTCCTCGTGATGTCGGACGCACTGGACGACATACTCCTAGGAATGGACTTCCTCTGTGGAATCGGAGCAACCCTGCTCTGCGGCGGGCAGACCCTCCGACTGCGACCGGACGACCAGCGAAGACCCACAACAGAGCCACGCTCTGACCAGCGAAGACCAACAACACAGCCACGCTCTGACCAGCGGAGACCAATAACAGAGCCACGCTCTGACCAGCGAAGGGAGCCACGCTCCAACCCACGGGACCAGCCCGCAGAGCCACGCTCTGACCAACGAAGAACGACGAGGGAGTCACACTCCAACCACGAAGAGCCACCAATGGCACACCACTCAGAGCCACGCTCTGAGCAACGAAGCACATCGACGGAGCCACGCTCCACATCCGAAGAGCCACCAACGGCACACCATGCAGAGTCACACTCTGATCAGCGAAGGACGACAACGGAGTCACACTCCACCCACGCCGAGAAGCCACAGACGACAGCCCAAGGAGAGCCACGCTCTACCCATCGAGGGCAGCCAAGGGAGCCATGCTCCGATCCCGACGACCAGCCAAGTACCTCACCTCGAGCACAGTTTCGAGGCACAGCATCACCAGCGACGGAGAACCAGCCGCCCTGTTGGAGACAGGCTTTGCCCGTGGCAGATGCCACAGCCGCGCAACGGAATCCCTTCCGTACCTCCACCAAAACGTGTCCGCTTCCAGGATCACGTCGAGGAAACGCCGGAGCCGAGCCCGCCCCTATGCGGAACCGTCAATTCGGTGAGTCATCCCACAGAGGATCAGGTCTCTTTCCAGACAGAGGAACCCGAGACGCCGGATTACCCCGAGCCTTGGGTGAAGGAGTTTCTGGACCAGGAACTGGCCAAGTTTGATACTCTTTCAGGGGTATCGCACATCGCAGAGCATCGCATCTTCATGCGCACCGATCGACCCCTTAAACAGCGGTACTTTCCAAGGAATCCAGCCATGAGGGCCGTCATTGATAAGCAGATCAATGAACTCCTCCGAGACGGACGCATTGAACCATCGAAAAGCCCGCACAGCGCGCCCATCGTAATCGCGGCCAAGAAGAATGGCGAAGTCCGCATGTGCGTGGACTACCGCCAGCTCAATGAGAACTCCGTGCCGGACGCATATCCGCTTCCGAGGATCCATCAAATCTTGGAGCGACTCCGGAACGCGAAATTCATCTCGACGTTGGACCTCAAAAATGGGTATTGGCAAATCCCAGTGGCCCCGGACAGCCGGGAGTGCACGGCGTTTACCGTTCCCGGAAGAGGGTTGTTTCATTGGAGAGTCATGCCTTTCGGACTTCACTCCGCTCCCGCCACGTTTCAACGCGCCTTAGACACGGTCATCGGTCCGGATATGGAACCCCATGCGTTTGCATATCTGGATGACATCATTGTCATCGGCTCCACACTGGAGGAGCATGTCGCCAATCTTGGAGAAGTCTTCAGACGCCTCCGCTGCGCAAACCTGCGCCTCAACAGAGGGAAGTGTCATTTCTTCCAGCGCCGCATCGTGTACTTGGGTCACGTGATCAGCGAAGCCGGAATTCACACGGATCCGGACAAGGTCGCTGCGATCCGTGGACTCGCACCGCCGACGAACCTGAAGGAGCTACGCAGATGCCTGGGAATCGCTTCCTGGTATCGCCGCTTCGTGCCGAACTTCGCCGATGTTGTGGCACCCATGACATCGCTGCTGAAGAAGGGCCACAAATGGGAATGGACCCAAAGACAAGACCAGGCCTTCCAGGAGCTGAAGACGCTGCTGACCGAAGCCCCTATTCTAGCTTGCCCAGATTTTGCAGAGAAGTTTGTGCTACAAACTGACGCCAGTGACTACGGAATCGGAGCCGTACTCACACAGACCATCGATGGAAACGAGAGGGTGATAGCGTACGCCAGCCGCCGGCTCAACACTGCTGAGAGGAACTACTCAGTGACTGAGAAGGAGTGTCTCGCCATCGTCTGGGCGATTCGGAAGATGCGGTGTTACATCGAGGGATACCGCTTCGAAGTCCTCACAGACCACCACTCCTTGAAGTGGTTGAACTCCATCGACAATCCAACAGGCAGGATTGCCCGTTGGGCACTGGAGTTACAGCAGTATCAATACGACGTCCATTACCGGAAGGGGGCCCAGAACTTAGTGGCCGATGCCCTTTCTCGCCAACCGCTGCCCATAGTGCAGCAAGCGGAGGTACAAGGAGTCAACTGTAAGTGGATCACGAGGATGCTCCAGAGGATTCGGACCGAACCAGCAAAGTTTCCGGATTATCGAGAGGAGAATGGCCAGCTATATCGTCGCCTTGGACTCCGGCCGGAGGAGGAGGAGTACACGCCCTGGAAGCTGTGCGTAGGGTCAGACTATCGCCAGCGAGTACTCGAAGAGTGCCACGATCACCCCACTGCCGGTCATCTAGGAGTCCGGAAAACCAGCACTCGCGTGGCCCAGCGCTATTACTGGCCTGGATTGTTCCGCGAGGTGGCTCGGTACGTTCGCCGTTGCCCCACTTGTCAGCGATATAAGGTGAGCCAAGAAAAGCCCGCAGGTCAAATGTTTACTCGACAGGTCGAGGAGCCGTTCCACATCCTATGCGCAGATTTCGTCGGCCCACTGCCGCGGTCGAAACAGGGCAACACGATGCTGCTAGTATTCCTGGACGCCTTCAGCAAGTGGGTGGAGCTAGTGCCGCTTCGCAAAGCTACCGCCACACATCTGGAACGAGCCTTCAGAGAGCGGATATTGAGCCGATTCGGTGTTCCCCGAACATTTGTCTGCGACAACGGTACGCAGTTCACCGGCCGCTCATTCCAGAAGTTCTGCCAGTCGCTAGGGAATGGAAGCTGCAGCACACGGCGCCCTACACTCCGAGACAGAATCCAACGGAAAGGGCAAATCGAACAATCAAGACGATGATCGCCCAATACTTAGATGGAGGCCAGCAGAACGAGTGGGATCAACTCCTACCGGAGATATCTTTGGCCATAAATAGTAGTGTCTCGGACACTACCGGATTCAGCCCCGCATTCTTGGTACAAGGCCGAGAACCGCGACTCCCGAAGACGTTGTACGACGAAGTTACCCCCGGACGAGGCACCCCAGAGATTTCCCCGACAGAGCGAAGCGAGCAACTCCGGAACATCTTCGACGTCGTCCGAAACAACGCTGACCGCGCCGCCGCCGAGCAGAGCCGTCATTACAACCTACGCCGGAGGACGTGGAGACCACCAGTTGGATCCATGGTCCTAGTACGACGACACGCCTTATCCAACGCAGCCGAGGGCTTTGCCGCAAAGCTAGCTGCGAAATACGAAGGACCCTTCAGGGTAGCGAAGTTCCCATCGCCGAACATCGTGCAACTGCACATGCCAGGAAGCCGACGCCGGCGGACCGCCAGCCTGAACCAGCTGAAGCCGTACCACCACGAGGCTGAGGCAGACACCGAAGCCGGAACCCACCGGGAAGACACCGACGCCGGAGATACCACAATCGAGGATGCCGACGACACCATCCTGGACGCACAGCCAGCAGCCAAGACCGCACGGCGCAGGGGACCCATCCCGCGCCGCCAACACTAGCGACGAGCACCCATGTAGGGAGGGCGACCATGTTTCACAGGGGCCACTTGTTGACAGGCGCGCCTGTCCAACGTCCCGAACCCCCTAGTGGGGTGAACATGCGTCTCTTTCCAAAAAGCCGTAGCCGTAGCCAACCCTAGCCCACTCCATTAGGTAGGGCCCAGGGCAACACACTAAAATAATCTTCTCTGTCCTTACAGCAACAGTCCTCAGCCAGCCTACCAAGAGGCACAACGAGCCACGCTCCCCGCAGGCAAAGCACGCCTGACACCGGCATCTACGCAGAGCCACTGCCACGTCTTCGCCAGACCACCCAAAGGACGTCAACCAGCCAAAAGTATGGACGGACAAGGCCATCCGCCGACTCCCGCCCCGACACAGGACAACTCCTGGATGTGTACTGTGCGGTCGACGAGCTCCTACAGGCACTCCAAGGCGCCGGGCCAAGCCCGCCGCGTCCCAGCGACAGCCTCGTCGCCCATAGCGCCGGCCTCTTCCGACCACGGGCTCTACCCGTCGACGCCACCATCGACGCCGACAACGGGGAGGAGACGACCGCCGGCAACCACGCCGGGCCCCGTCGGCCCTCTACAGAGGGGATGCCACCCCTGGTACCCCTGTTCGCCGGCCTCGTTGGGCCACACGGGCCCCTCCGGAAGTCGTCCTCCGCGACGATGACGAGGAGGAGGCCCACCAGCACGACGACGCTGGACCCCACCCAGCACCCTTAAGGGGCATGCCGCCCCAGGCACCCCTGCGCGCCGGCCACATAGGGCCGCAGGCACCCTCTCCGGAAGTTGCCTTCCCCAACGGCAATGACGAGGAGGAGGTGCCACCAGACCACCGCTTCGGACCCCTGCGGGTCGATCTGACGCCGCCCCAACCACGCGATGCTCCACCCGGAGATCGGGCACCCTCCGCCGACGCCGAGGACGCCTGGAACCAGGCCGTCTCCCTGTCGGACGATTGGGTCAATTTCGACCGCCTGGTGGAGGACACCCTGGGCGACCTCTTCTGACAGCCCGCCGCACGCGGAGCCGCCGGCAACAGGCGCTCTCGGACCTCTGGGCGCGGCATACGACCTGGTCTCCGACGACGAGGGCCGTGACAACCGCACACCGTCGTCACTACGACCCAACCGGCGATGACGGCGACGACAGCGACGCGACCGTCCTGTACGACCCCACCGCGGAAGACAGCCGTGACATACGGAGGAGGCGCACCACACCGCCGCACCCGAGCGACAACCGGGCCCCGCCGTACATGGGCGAGGTAGAAGCCGCCCTGATAGAATGCTCCGGAGAAATCCCGGTGGACGTATTCGACCGGGGAAGCGGCACCAACACCGCGTCAACCATCTCGGCCGACGAGGACGAGGCCAGCCGGGATGGCCGCCAGTCAGACGCCTCGCGACCACCTTCCACCGGACCCGCCGATGACGCATCGGCATCGACAATCTCGGCCGACGAGGGCGAGACTAGCCAGGACAGTGACTGGTCCTACGCCCCGCGATCGCCGCCCCCACGCTGGACTCCACCCAGCACCACGCCGCTACAAAGCTGGCCCCCAGCCACTACCAGTCGCAGCCGACCCCCTCCGCCCTCCTACGAGGAAATATTTGGCCTGGGACCATACCCCGGTCCTCACGCTACCGCCCGATGCGCCGCGGTGGCCGCCAGTCGCGATCCTCGACCCCGCCTGCCCACCATTGCGGAGCTGGCCGCAGAAGAGGCGCGCCGAAGGGCGGAGGACCTCAGCGAGGAGCTCGGCATCCCGCAGATGGCCCAGTTGCCAGTCGGCAACCCACCGGTTGCCCAACCGCCGACGAATGGCCCACCACCATCACCGACCCCACGCCGCCGAGCCCGGCGCCGGAGCGCACCATGGGCAGACAGCCCGTCAAGCTCGTCCGACGAGTCATCATTGGACGCCGACGAGGGAGCCCTCGACCCTCCCCGCTGGGTACCGGCCCCAGTGGAGTGGACCACGCCCAACGGCACATTGCCAGCCGCCTTGCTCCGCCGGATTCACGGGCGCCTGGCGACACCAAGACGACGGACAATCCGGATTCTGGAGGAGGAGGCGAATCAACGCTTCCGCGTCCAGATTAACCGCAGCGGGAAGGTGATCATCACTCTCCACCCCTCCCGAAGATAGGGTGGAGTGTGACGATGTCACAATCCCCTATTTTTGTAAATTATGTACATATTAGTTAAGTTTATAGTTAAGTTAGTAATTAGTATAGGGAAATAAGTTAGGATTAGCCACACACCCACACACACAACTGTACATTTAAGCGGGCATGAAGCCCAAAGTTAATTTACCCAGGAAGGGCCAAATTAGATTTAGATTAAGGCCGCAACGCACAGGCGTATACATTTTGTCAACACGGACTGTAGCGACCGCGCTAAAGACATTTCCCCTCTCCGCTGCCGACGCGAACAGCGGCAGAGGCAGCGACATTTCCCCTCCGACGATCGTGCGTGTTTACGTTTTGGTCGTGCTTATTTACATGCCGATCAAAACATAAACAATAACAAAAACAAAGCCGACGGCCGAAAGCTGCGCTGCCCGGACATTTTTGGCAGAGACGAGGCGACAAGGGCTTTGCAAGCTGCGACCGCGATCACTTCTCCGACTACTGCGAACGTGAACGATCGAACTTAGCCCCCGCGACTCGAAATTATCCAAACCGACGGCTAAGTCCAAAAGGACCCGCGTGTGTTAACTTACATCCTGGCTGCCGGACACGTGTCCCAGCCGACTGATAACATCAGGTGAGCCGGCCGAGTGCCATGTGAGGGCAGATCCTTGGAGTGTGGCGTAGGGCCAGGTTAGGGCACGACAGCCGTAGCCAAAGTTAGAAATAATGTAGACATAATAATTAAGTAATAAAATAAAGTACCAAAAATGAAGTTCGGAAATTCCATCGTCTTTCTCTCTCTCTCACCCGCATAAAACTCCGCGTAGTAACAACCAACCCTTATTTTGACGCGTGCCAAAGTGTTCCCCTCCCGCTCACTCACTCGCCGAGCTGGTGGCTGGGTTATCCCGCACCAACTCCGCGTGGTCGCTGGGCAAGCTCCGGGCCGGAGAAGCGGGACGGGAGCGGGATTTGTCGCCGCTGGGTTCTCCCGGGCACAGATCTGGCGTGGGCATCGGGGCTGCTGGGTTTTCCCGGGCTACGAGTTCATCGCCGCCGGCACGTGCTCACAGATTTCCCCCTCTCCCCTCTCCTTTTCCCTTCCGATCTGCATTTTGCCCGCCATCGCCGCTGGGTCATCCCGGGCGGCGGAGATTTTGCCGATCGGAAGAGTCGCCGCTGCTGGACAACCGGGCGAGCGCAGGAAAACGGAGGAGCACCTGGCCATCGCCAGGGTGACCGCGCGTTTTAGGTTTCCCCTTCCCCTCTCCCTTTCCCTTCCGATCTGCATTTTGCCCGCCATCGCCGCTGGGTCATCCCGGGCGGCGGAGATTTTGCCGATCGAAAGAGTCGCCGCTGCTGGGCAACCGAGCGGGCGCAGGAAAACGGAGGAGCACCTGGCCATCGCCAGGGTGACCGTCCAAGATTCCCATTTTCCCGAAGCCAGAGTTCCCCTTTTGAAAACGAGCCCCTTTTCGCTGCCATTTTCCCCTAGAAAATTCATTAAAAATTCGGCGTCCATGTCCTGGCCGTCTCTAAAAATATAAATATTTCTGGAGAGGAATCCTGGGCCGCTGAGGTTTACCCCGGCCTAAGACACATCCTTACATTGTTATAATTATGCAAGCTTTTTTGTTTACACCGTGTATCATGTTATATGTGTTCGATATAATCATACATTTATTACCAAGATTATCGTAAATGTATTTAAATTTAAAGTTTTTTTTTATTTCATCATTCAACACATACTTGGATACTACTCGTTTAAATATATTGGATGAATATTGTTCAGTATGAACGTGATTATCTACAGTCCACCAATCGATACAATAAATCTCATTTGGTCGATTGACTATACCACCAAAGGTACTTGGCAAATCGTACTTAAACACACAAACTATATTTAAGGGAGTCATACAGTTTTCAGTCAACAAAATATTATTGTATTTATTTTCATTATAAAATGCGTGCTTCATGCAGTGTTCGTCAGACTCGTTAACCGATATTAAATTGGGACTAATAATATTTTTCCATGATCTTCCTGGTAAACGTACTGCAAATGGCATAAAGGCATTTTCTCTTTTTATTGGTAGCCAGTAATCAGTTAAGGGGCCCATCCACAGTAGAACATGTTGGCCGAGCATGTTGAGCTCGACGAAATTTTCATCGTTAGTGGTAGTGTTCGCGTGCAAATTTCGTGTTGGTCGAGCCGCTCGAACGAAATAGAAATTATTCTATCTAGCTTGTGTTCGCAACAACATGCTCGACAATGGATGGCAACGTTGGCACGAACATCATTTGAAGCAAAAGTTTGTAGCGACAACACGTAGTACCGGAGCTGTAAAATGTCAAAACAATTTATGTAAGAATTTATTTATTGCTTGCAAAATGAGCAATCTTTGTGGCACACAAAAAGGATCCGAGTTCCTGCAGAAGGCAGTAGCTCATTTGGACAACATGATTCGTCCCATGGATTCAGAATCTGCAGTAAAATCAATTTTCGGATTTTTTTGTAGAAGATATGAGCACAAAAAATATATTATCTATCGCCATGATTTTTTTGTTTTTTTTTATTTATTTATTTATTTATTTTTTTTTTGAGCAAATACATAAAAATAAAGATAAAAACTTAAATAAAAAATATTATTAAAAAATTGTTTTCATTGAAATAAACCTAATTATTCACTTTGATACCCTATAAAAAAGGGAATGAGTGGGCGTGGCACATTTTCCAATAAATATGTACATTTTACAACAATTTGCTGTCAAATGGCGTTTAAATTATGTGATTATCTTATTTGGTTCAAAAGATATATGCGTCGTCCGTTGCCATGTTCACTTCTCAAAGATTTCCCCGCAAATGATGTTTGGAAGCATGTTGGCACTAGTTGGTGGCAAATGAAATTTTTGCTCGACGAGCGGCTCGGCCAATATTTTCTACTGTGGATGGGGCCCTTTATATTCTTTTTAATCAAAAACTGTAAAATTTTTGAAACATCCTGTTTTGTCAAATCCATTGGAATAATTATATTTGAGCCGTAGCAAAAATGTTCGTTGTATGCTTGAATAGTACGTGAAATTTTTAAACAATGTATGCCACCGTGAGGCAATCGAATTTCATAAAGGTCATCAGGGCAGTGCATTTCAGGAAATTTTAGTTCTTTACAGCCTATTTTATCTAGACTCAAATGACCAGTACTAATGTCGCACGTACGTATTAAAATTTGATTTTTACGTTTGAGGCAAACAAGATCTTCAATTCTTGTATAACTTTTTCTATAATTCCAGTAGGCCGTACCATCACCAATTTTAGTGGTAACATCTTCACATTTTTTTAGCTACAATATAATTTAAAAATAAGATTTAATTATTAAAAAAAAAATTTATTTGAATTCATCATTGTATGTTGAAAATTTTAAAACTGTATCTATAAATAATTTATGATTTATAAATTAATAAGAAAATATTTTTCAATGTATATCTTTATATTTTGGGAATATTCTTGTCATATATCTGGGTTATTTATTCTTACCAAATCGTTCTGTAAACCCATTGAATGAGCACTGAAACACAAATAATAAATTAATCGAAAAAGTGGACTAAAAATCATAATTTGAAAACGTTGAAGAAAAAAAACTGTTATTTTATTGATATTGCTTAATTTTTAAATGTATATTTTTTTCTAACACGGAGTACCAGACACAGGTGTTATCAACGACAAGTTAAATTCCATAGGAGCTCAAGAGGTATAAGGAAAATAATCTTAATCTTTATTATTCATAGATAAGGTCGATTTCCATATTATCTGTACTTATTAGGGTGGTTTTATTTCTTGCGAGGAAACTACTACTGGCGTGCTGCTGGATTGGTTGCTTGCATGCCTACTAAGTGGGTTAAGATTAAAGTTTTTAGTTTGGGGAGGCTATCAACATTAGATATTATAGTGTACAAATCATTATAATTTGCACAGAGGACTCTAAAGGGTTCATGCAGTTCAAAGGATGTTCTACAGTGGGGCAAAACTAATGGTAAAAGGGATCTAGTGTTTCTTATTGGTACGTGAAAATTTAGCTGACCCAGCACATCAGTACTTTCCACTGCCATAAGAATGTAATACCTAGCATGGTTCTACGATTAGATTAGGAGGGTAAGTTAATTAGTAAGAGTATACTAGAATAAGACGGTAACCTCTGGTTAGCATCCCAGCTTAAACCGCGTAAAGCGAAAAGTAAGAAGTTCTTTTGAACCGATGCGTTTTATGCGTTTCTATGCGTTTACTGTGGACGCCATACTAAGGGCTCCAAACACAGGATCCATATTCTAAGATAGGACGAACAAGTGATGTATATAAAGATTTTGTAACACTGGGGTCATTGAATTCCTTCGACCTCCGCTTAATGAAACAAAGCACACCCCTGACTTTATTCACCATGCGCAAAATATGATCGATAAAGTCAAGTTTAGGATACAGACGTACACCCAAATCATCAACTATATTAAATTTTCCAAAGAGCATTTGCATTTAGATCCATTTAAGTTTAATAAGTTCACGCGGCACCATGTTTGAAAATTGTTAAGATCTGAAGCTTGACGTCATCAGCGTACATAAGAACTCTGGAGTTGGTCAAAACTTCGGGCAGATCTTTGAGAAATTATGTAAACAAAAAGGGGACCCAAATGACTCCCTTGCGGGACGCCAGATGTAACCCTAAGAAAATTAGATAGTTTATTTTTAACAAGAAAGAAAGCTAACTTCGGCACGCCGAAGTTTGTAGACCCTTGCAGATTGGTTTTGATATTTATATTATAAATTCTAATGCTGAGTTTCATTACATTTTACCTATACTTATTATGTTTACAGTTTGACAGTTACAGTTTTACATTCACAGCTTCACATTTTTTTTTTTTTTTTTTTTTTTTTCGCGCGGGGTCCCGCTTCCACCTCCCGCCCAACCGACCGAGGGGCGCAGCCGCGTGACGTACGGCACGAATCGCGAACTAGATAGACGCGGTT